TGCGTGGCCCTGGCTGAGCCCTCCAACTGTTCTTGAAGCTGGCCAATCTCTGCGGTTTTCTCCTCCAAGACTCTCTGGTGGGTTTCCGTGGCTTCCTGCTGCCTTCTTTGCAGTTCAGCGACTTCCAGCTCCAACTTGGCTATTTTCTGCGACTGCAGCTCGGAGTCTGCAGATGGTCCCTGAGATGTTTCATTCTCCTCCGGTCCCAAGAGCATCCCCAGGACAGAAGGGGAGTCCTGGATGTCCACAGTGACCAGGGAGCTGCTGCTCGAGTCGCTCTGGATGGCCACGGTCCCTTCTCCCTCCCTCTCGGCGTCGTTGCCCTGGGAGCGCCCTGCGTCATCTTCCAGGCTGCTCGAGAGGGGAAGCTGCCCCTTTAGGAAGGCGATCTCTTCCTGGGCCTCCTGTAGTTCCAGAAGCAGGATGGACAGATCACGCTGCCTCTCATCAGCAAAGGATTCCAGGAGATCGGGCTGTCTGTCCGGTTGGGCCGGCAGGGGATCCTCCAGGGTCCCAGCTGTGCCGGACTGAAAGAAGGAAAAAGAAGGAGTCATTACAAGAATCAGGTATTTTATTTCATATTGTATTTTATATTATTTCTTTATTTTACATTTTATTCTATTTCTTTATTTTACCTGACCTTACATTGTCCCAAAAGGTGCTTTTTCAAGAAGCAACTGGACTTTCTGGTTTGTTTTTTTTTTTTTTTTTAAATATAGTTTATTAATTTTTACAATTAAAACCAGTCACAATACATACACAAATAAGCAAAAGAAAGAAAAAGAAAGAAGAGAGAAGAGAGGGAAAGAATTTTGAGAAAAGAAAAAGAAAGGGGGAAGAAAGAAAGAAAGAGGTTACAGGATAAAAAGTATTCTTATTTTAACAGTTTGCAAGATCTTCTTTTGTTTTCATCACCTTAACTTGTGTCATATAACCACACCTGTTTTTAACTTATATCGCTACCTCCTTATTATGTATTGATACTTTTCTTTTATGCCTTATGATATATAGTTTATCTTTGGTCAATCCAATTATACCAACAATTCCAGCTATCGTAGTATAGTGAAGTGTCTCAAAATGTGCAGAAATGGATAAATTGACTTTGGCGCTAAAAATCTGGTTTGTTTTTGAAGACGTTTCGCTTCTCATCCAAGAAGCTTCTTCAGCTCTGACTGGATGGTGGGGAAAGGGAGGATTGATACTCCTGGCAGACAGCTGGTCATTTGCGTCCTTTGAGAGGGCCGTTGAGGCCACTTGGAAGTTTGGACAGCCCTCCCTCAAAAGAGGGGGAAGGGGATAGGACTTCATCTACTTCCAGTCTACAACACAGCCCTTTCAGCAGCTCCAAGAAGGCTCCACGCCTATATGCACCACTCAGGTGACCCTGAGGACACAGGTAAACTTCCAAGTGGCCTCAACAACTCTCTAAAGATGGAAATGACCAGTTGTCTGGCAGGAGTAAAAATCCTTCCATCCTCCACCCTCCAGTCAGAGCTGAAGAAGCTTCTTGGATGAGAAGCGAAACGTCTTCAAAAAGCGCCAAAGTCAATTTATCCATTTCTGCACATTTTGAGACACTTCACTATACTACGATAGCTGGAATTGTTGGTATAATTGGATTGACCAAAGATAAACTATATATCATAAGGCATAAAAGAAAAGTATCAATACATAATAAGGAGGTAGCGATATAAGTTAAAAACAGGTGTGGTTATATGACACAAGTTAAGGTGATGAAAACAAAAGAAGATCTTGCAAACTGTTAAAATAAGAATACTTTTTATCCTGTAACCTCTTTCTTTCTTTCTTCCCCCTTTCTTTTTCTTTCTTTTCTCAAAATTCTTTCCCTCTCTTCTCTCTTCTTTCTTTTTCTTTCTTTTGCTTATTTGTGTATGTATTGTGACTGGTTTTAATTGTAAAAATTAATAAACTATATTTTTTTTTAAAAAAAACAAACAAACCAGAAAGTCCAGTTGCTTCTTGAAAAAGCACCTTTTGGGACAATGTAAGGTCAGGTAAAATAAAGAAATAGAATAAAATGTAAAATAAAGAAATAATATAAAATACAATATGAAATAAAATACCTGATTCTTGTAATGACTCCTTCTTTTTCCTTCTTTCAGTCCGGCACAGCTGGGACCCTGGAGGATCCCCTGCCGGCCCAACCGGACAGACAGGCCGATCTCCTGGAATCCTTTGCTGATGAGAAGCAGCGTGATCTGTCCATCCTGCTTCTGGAACTACAGGAGGCCCAGGAAGAGATCGCCTTCCTAAAGGGGCAGCTTCCCCTCTCGAGCAGCCTGGAAGATGACGCAGGGCGCTCCCAGGGCAACGACGCCGAGAGGGAGGGAGAAGGGACCGTGGCCATCCAGAGCGACTCGAGCAGCAGCTCCCTGGTCACTGTGGACATCCAGGACTCCCCTTCTGTTCTGGGGATGCTCTTGGGACCGGAGGAGAATGAAACATCTCAGGGACCATCTGCAGACTCCGAGCTGCAGTCGCAGAAAATAGCCAGGTTGGAGCTGGAAGTCGCTGAACTGCAAAGAAGGCAGCAGGAAGCCACGGAAACCCACCAGAGAGTCTTGGAGGAGAAAACCGCAGAAATTGGCCAGCTTCAAGAACAGTTGGAGGGCTCAGCCAGGGCCACGCAGGCCCTGGACGCCGAGCAGGACCAGCTCCTGTCCCAGCTGAAGGAACTCTGCTTCCTGGAAGAGCTGAAGGATCAGCCGGAAGGCAGCCCTGCTGCCCACCCAGAGCTGAAGGATCAGCTGGAAGGCAGCCCTGCTGCCCACCCAGAGCTGCAGCCTCAGCTGCCCAACTACGAAAGGGGAATCTCTCACCTGGGCTTGCTGAAGGAGCAGATTCAGAGCCTGAGGAACGAGGCCCAATCCAAGGACGTGAAAATTGTGGCTCTGCAGAAGGACCTGGACGAAGCCCAGCGTCAGCTCTCGGAGCAAGAGATGGCAGGGAGGAACCTCCTTAGCCAGCTCCAGAAGGAGCAGCAGGACGGCCAAGCCCTGGTTGAACAGGCGCGGGAGGCTTCCGCGAAGGCCGAGGAGCAGTCCCAGGCCCTGGCCTTGAAGGAGCTGGAAGCCGCCAAGCTGGCGACGCTCCTCTCGGAGAACTCCCTGGAGGTGGAGAGGCTCCAGCAGGAAGTGGCGGAACGGGAGCGGAGGATGGCCGAAGTCAGCGTGGGCATGTCCGACCGGATGGTGCAACTCAACGAGGAGAAGTTCGTGCTGGGGAAGGAGCTGAAGAGCGTGATGGAGCAGCTGAGCGTCCTGCAGCAAGGGAAGGAGACCAGAGGGCAGGCCGTGGAGACGGAGGAGAGATGGCCGCCGACGGAGGAGTGGCCCACCGACCAAGCCGTGGAAGTTCTAAGGAAGGAGAACGAACTCCTGAGGAAGAAGCTGCAGGCTGCTCTCCTCAGCAGGAAGGAGCTCCTCGCCAGGGTTCGCCAGCTGGAGCAGGAAGGAAAAGGGGAGGAAAAGCTTCCCGCCGAGAGCCAGGAGGGGGTGGCTCAAGAGAATGAAGGAGGCGGGCCTCCCTCCGTGAGCCATAGTGGCCAAGGGCATCCTGTAAGGCGGGGCAGGGCTGCCTCACTGAACCAGCTGCTCTCCGCAAAGGAAGCCGCATCGCAGGTCAGCCTCGAGGAAGAAGAATGCACGTGGCTGCGGACTATGATTGCCGAGTTGCAGCAGCGTCTGCAGGAGAAGGACCTTCAGATCAACGCTCTGCAGGCTGAACTCAAAGACCGCCAGTTGTCCCCCGAGAAACAGAGTCCGGTGGATCAGAATGTGGAGGGGTCCAGCTCAGCAGATTCCAGGGAAGGCGGAACAAGCAGCAAAGCTGACCTTGGCCCAGAAGGAGAAAATAAGACCACCCAAGAAGAGTTTTCGGCACTGGTCCAGGAGAGAGAAGAGCTCCAGAAGAAGCTCCAGGAAGCTCTGGTCTCGCGCAAGGAGACCATCAAGAAAGCCAAGGAGAAGGATCGTCATTATCGCGAACTGCTAAAGCAGCAGAAGGAGGACTACAACTTGCTACAAGAGCAACTTGAGCAGCAGAGC